GGCCGGCGAGGTGAGGGTGCGCCCCGGGAGCCAGGGGAAAGTTTTCGGGGCCAGGGTCCGCGGGGCAGCGGGGAGCCGCCTGCGATCCGCCAGCGATCCCTGGCCTCCGGGCATGATCTGGCCCCGCTTTGCGCACAGGTGACCCAGCTGTCACTGCGCCCTGTCTACCAGCAAGGTGTGCCTGCCTCTCAGTGGGCTGGATGCCGCTCTGTTTTGCAAAGCGACCCACACCTCCAGCCCCTCCGCCTCCCTCGACAGGGTCTTGGAGGGATTTTGGGGGAACCGTCACCAAAGTGCCCTGTCCTGTGCGGGAGATCAGCGAGAGCTTGTCCTGTATTGGGAGTGAGGTGGGCTTAACGAGTCCAGTCTGGAGATCAGAGTGATTGCGCGCCCCCAGGGATTGAGGGCTTTCATTTGCAATTATCCTGAAACTCTACTCTTGGCCTTGAATTTCTTTTTTCAGGTCTCCAGAGATGAAAGCTTTGCCAGTTGCAGGCTGTAGGTCAAGCGCTTTTTTTTTTTTTTTTACGCCTGATGCTTGAGATCACTGGAGTTGCTTTAAGCTTCAGACTTGTTACTTGTTTTTGATCGTGTGGGTCTGCATTGTTCATTTTGGAAAATGCTGACTTGGGCTAAATGAGTTCAGTTTTCCTTTCTGGACAGAACAAAAGCATTTGAATGAGTGGCTCATTAGTACCATTGGTGTTCTGAGCGGTTCTTTGGGATTTCGCCCATCTTCTTTGGCATACTGTATTCTTTCATTATATAGACAGAGTTCTACATCAGCTCGGAGGAGAGTATGCCTAGCCCACCTTGCTTCTGTTGTGAACAGATCATAAAGTTAGCGCTGCTGCCAGTTCTTTTAGGTTTTGTGAATCTTAACGATCGGGCTAATTCATATTCCATTAGGTGCCAGTGGATGACTTAAGAAAGATGTAACTAAGATGTTCTTAGTTCAACAGGTTTGTGGTATCATTGTTTGTGAACACATGGAATCTGGGCGCTGTTACCCTGTAGTGGTTTTGACTTTCTGACGTAACCTGTGTGGGCTTAGTTGCTTTTTCTTCTTCTCCTTTTAAAATGCTGTAGATACTGCCCAGAAGTCATTCGAGTCATTCACTCAGCAGACATATTTCCTTCAGTTTGAGTTCCAAGCTGTTGCTCTGAGGGTCACCATGAGTCTCGTCGATCCGTCCGCTCGAGGCACGTCATTACGCCAGTTTCTGTAGCTAATGCTTTCTCCCCAGAGGAGTTTGCATTTCCCCCTCTCCTTATCTTACATAATAATGCACCGATTTGGAGATGCAGACCAGGGTTGTCCTGAGACAGCTCCTTCTCAGCCGCTGCAGTGCAAAAGAACAGCTTGTCAGTAAATGACCCAGAAGCAGTCTCCTTACTCACTCTGCACCCATGGCTCTGTTTCTGGGCTTTGCAAACAATGCTAGTTTTGTAGGCAACAGCGAGGACTGCTTTATTTCCCTTTCACTACCAACAGTGTGAATCATCAGCTTCAAGTTTGCATGTTAGACATTTTTCTGATGGGTAGAGAGATTGTAGTGAATTCATCAGTGCTGGTAACAGCGAGAGGAAAGGAAGGATAGTTTTGCTTGATTGTTGAGCACTGGGGCAACTGACCGGATATTGTGGTCAAAAACCGTGGTTAAAGTAGAATGAAGAACTTGAAAGATTCGCTCCTCTTCATCCACCATGTTTCTGTGAGCCACGACGTGCGAGGCACCAGAGTAATTTGGTCTGACGTGGTCCTTGCCTCTCATAATGCAGACAGGTGTGTAGTCACGCCACGTTAGCAGTAGGTGTGATCACCCGTTTATGCACAGCTCTGTGTTGTATGCTGTCGGATGAAGCAGTAAAGGCAACAGATTATGTGGAAGTTGTTCCCTCCATGCAGGCTGGCATAGCTTGGCTTACCTCGACAGGGATTTGAGAAATGTAGTTTTGAATCCCATAAACTGACAGTCTTTCTAAGAAAAGATGTGCCATTTCATCCTCTGGGACCTATTTCTCTCAAAAGTGAGACTTGAGACAATTGGGAAAGTGCAAAGCAAGTCACATGATGCAGAGAAGGAGCTCATCAGTTATTGGTCACTGTCAATTTGAAAGCTCCTCCACAGTGCCCAGTACCTCTTCTCAGTGTGCCAGTGAACCTAGAGTCCCTGCGACGGGTAAAGGATTAATGGGCTTGGCAGCTGCTCACCAGAAGGGTGAGGGTTTGAGCCCACTATGTATGTAGCTCCTTGAGAGAGAGGCCTTTCAGCCTGTCTCCGATAACTCAGCCCTTGAAAGCATCCGAAGCACCGCTCAGCTCTGACACCCAGGGAGTAGCACTGAGTTACTCCCTTAGCTGTAACCAACTTGGTAGTGACTGGGTTTTTTTTTAACCTGGAAAGCAAACCATTTGCTGCCTAGCCTGTGCCGCTCGGTCTGGCTGTTATTTTTTCAGCATATGTCTTGCCTTCTCTCGTAGAGTGTAAATGTCTTGTCATCGTTCTGTTTTGTAACCTGCACTTGCCTGCTCGGAGACATTTAGTACATGACGAGACAATCCTTATCAACAGCAGCACCAGTGGTAGGAGGGAGCTGCACAGGGTACAAATCCACCAGCAACGCCATGGGAAAAAGATAGGCAGTCTCCTCCTGTACAATTGACGGCCTCTGAAAACTAGCTGAAGGGTCCGCTCTGAGTTGGTTTCTGCTCAGTGGCACATAACAACAACAACAACAACAACAGCTGTAGCACTACTTGAATGTGTTAGATTGCAAGGTCTTTGAGGACAGACACCATGGCTTTTGTTTCTGGTCTGTGGTCTCATACACAGTTGCCATCAAGTAGGAACTGACTCTTCAGCAAGGTTTCAGAGGCTATAAGTTGCACGGGGGGAGATTGCCCATCTTTTGCCTAAGGAGCAGCTGATGGATTTGAACCACCTGTATTTGGCTTGGCAGCACAACTCACTAGTCACTTGGCCACCAGAGCTCCGTAGGCTGTGGTTGATGTTGTTTGGAGCCATCAAGTTGTCTATGATTCATAGTGATCCTGTGAATAACAGGTCCGCAACTTACCCTGTCCTGCGCCATCCTCATCATTTGATTGCATTGTTACAATCACTGTGTCAGTCCATCTCATTAAGGGTTGTCTTCTCTTTAGCTGACCTTCCACCTTTCCAAGCAGGATGTCCTTTTCCAAGGAATGGACCCTCTAAACAACTTGCTCAAAGTATGTGAGATGAAACTTCACTATCCTTGCCTCCAAGGAACATCCTGTCTGCTCTTTCTCTAAGACATATTTATTCTTGGCAGTCCATGGGATGTTCATTCTTCTTCTTCCCTATCACAGCTGAAAGGTGTGGATTCTGTTTCTGTCACCGTTATTAGGGTCCAGCTGTCAGATGCATAGCCAGTAATTGAAAAGACTGTGGCTTGAAGCAGGCACACCTTAGTCTCCAAACTGACATCACTGCTCCTTAACACCTTAACGAGGTCTTTGACAGCAGTTTTACCCAGTGAAGTACATCTTTTGATTTCTTGACTGCTAGTGAGGAGGACCTGATGCACTTGTTGTAGAAGGTCAAGGACTGCAGCCTTCAATATGGATTGAAGCTCAACATCAAGAAGACAAAGATTCTCACCACTGGGCTGAATGACAGCATCATGCTAGATGATGAAGAGATTGAGATTGTTTATAGCTTCAGTTTGCTTTACTCCACAGTCAACACTCTTGGTACCAGCAGCCAGAAAATTAAAAGATGTATTGCATTGGGAAGGTCTGTTGTCAGGGACTTCTCCAGAGTACTGGAGAGCAACTACATCAGTCTAAAGACTAAGGTGCACCTGATCCAGGCCATAGTCTTTGCAATTGCTTGCTATGCGTCAGAGAGCTGGACAATGATAGGAAAATAATTGATACCTTTGAGCTGTGGTGTTGGAGAGTTGAATATACCATGGACTGCTAGAAGAACAAACAGGTTTGTCCTAGAGAGGGTGAAATCAGGCTGCTCCTTGGAGGCAAGGGATCTATGAGGCTTTGTCTGACATTCTTTGGGTATGTTGAAAGGAGGGACCAGTCCTTGAAGAGGGACATCATGCGTGGAAGAGTGGAGGGACAGCGAAAGAGAGGAAGACCCTAGATGAGATAGATTGACTCAGTGGCTGGGATAATGAGGGTAGGTGTGTCAGAGACAATAAAGTTGGCACAAGATAGAGCAGGTTTTAGGGCTTTTGTACACTGGATCACTATGAGTTGCAAGTGACTATATGGCACATAACAACAAAAACAGTGCCAAGTTTACTGATTCTGCATCCAGGTAAGATGAAATCATTGAAAATCAGGCTCTTCTCCATCTATCCTGAGGTTGCATATTGGTCCAGTGGTGAGGCTTTTTGTCTACTTGATGTTGAAATGCAGTCCCTATTGAAGGCTGTCGTCTTTGATCTTCTGCAGCAGGTGTTTCAGGTCCTCTTCACTTTTGGCAAGCAGTGTTGCATCATCTACATAAGGCAGGTTGTCGATGAGTCATTTTCTGATCCTGCTCCGCAGGAGATGAGGTGGCTTGGCTTGGCTCATCCGGCTTCTTCTCCTACAGCAGTCCTTGCCATAGTATCTCCATCCTCCTGGGAGCCAGACAGAGCCACAGCCTCAAGGCAGAGAGCCCCCCAACCACCTGGTCTGTGGCAGGTAGTCAGATATTTGTTGAATGAATTTACTGAGTAGATGAGGATTCAAGACAGAATCTAACAGTTTGTTGAACTTCTAAGTGTTGTAAATGCAGTAAGTCAACAAATTGATGACAGTGACTGTAGAAGCTAAACAATGAAGAGGGAAGGATTGATG